CAAAAAAAGGAATGTTAGCTCAATGTGAGTGTGACTTCCTCCAGGCCCCTCAGATAGAACTTTAGAACAAAAAGGGACAGCTTGGTCAGAGTCAGTCCTCATTTCTTCCTTATCGGGAGGTTCTGTGTGCCAAGCAAGATCGCTTGGGTTGGGGGGTCCAGTTCTGAAAACGGTTCAGGGAATTGCTAGAGTCTATCTTTAGTTAATAAAAAAAAAAAAAAAAAAAAAAAAATTAGCCGGGTGTGATGGTGCATGTCTGTAGCCTTAGTTACTCAGGAGGCCAAGGCAGGAGGATTGTTTGGGCCCAGGAGATCAAGGTTGTGGTGAGCTGTGTTCACGCCACTCAGCCTCCTGAGTAGCTGGGACTACAGGCATGTGCCATCATACTCGGCTAATTTTAAAATTTTTGTAGAGACAGGATCTACTATGTTGCCCAGGCTGGTCTTGAACTCATGGGTTCGAGTGATCCTCCTGCCTTGGCCTCCCAAAATGCTTGGATTATAGTTGTGAGCCACTGCTCCCAGCCTGTATTGACCACAGGGCCTTCAATACCCAAGGGAGAGAACTTGTATGAAAACAAGTTATGTCCCATCCCTGTACCAGGTAAGAAAATAAGTTTTATCTGATGCATAGGAGTCCTTCTAAATTATCAGGCCCAATGAGACATTAAAATGAGATAGCAATCACATCCTACTTTCCCCCACCCCATTCTGAGCTATGCGTTCATCTTGAAATTGCTTGCTATTGCTAAAAGTAGCCATAAAGTAACCTAATAGTGCTGTAACAGCCACTATAACCCACACCCTATAGCTTAACAATGTATATAGCCAATCAGCAGCTTATGTTATTTTAATGGAAATTCTTGGTAAACAACTCAGGAACTGCCTTTTCTTTCCCTTTAAAAATCCACTTGTGGACCAGCGCGGCAGCTCACACCTGTAATCCCAGCACTTTGGGAGGCCGAGGCGGGTGGATCACCTGAGGTCAGGAGTTCAAGACCAGCCTGGCCAACATGGTGATCCCCCGTCTCTACTAAAAATTCAAAAATTAGCTAGGTGTGGTGGTAGGCGCCTGTAATCCCAGCTACTCAGGAGGTTCAGGCAGGGGAATCGCTTGAACCCAGGAGAAAGAGGTTGCAGTGAGCCGAGATTGAGCCATTGCACTCCTAGCCTGGGCGACAAGATCTAAACTCCATTTCAAAAAAAAAAAAAAAATCCACTTGTGGCTGGGCATGATGGCTCACGCCTGTAATCCCAGCACTTTGGGAGGCTGAGGCAGGCGGATCACCTGAGTTTGGGAGTTTGAGACCAGCCTGACCAACATGGAGAAACCCTGTCTCTACTAAAAGTACAAAATTAGTCAGGCATGGTGGTACGTGCCTGTAGTCCCAGCTACTTGGGAGGCTGAGGCAGGAGAATCGCTTGAACCCGGGAGGCAGAGGTTGCAGTGAACTGAGATCACGCCATTGCACTCCAGCCTGGGTAACAAGAGCAAAACTCCCTCTCAAAAAAAAAAAAAAAAAAAATCCACTTGTATCTGCTGCTAATTGGAATGTCTATTCAGGAAACTTAAATCTATGCTCCCATGTTACGAACCTCAAGCTTGGTGCAAATAAACTCTCTACTTATATTAATTTAGCTTCAGTTTCTTCCATTTAAATATTAATTTAGCTTCAGTTTTTCCTCCAACACAGCCTTTGTTGAAGGCTTCTAGGCTCTCTCCTAACAAAGAATAGTGGGTCAGATGCCCTGGACTCAACTCCAAGGACTCACTCTCTCCCCTACTCCGATGCCCCCATGTTGTTATCATCAATAAAGCAAAACAAAGCTTTTTGTGTTTGTTAAAATCATGATGAAGATAATTATGCAGTAGTTCATCTCAATGGAGCAGTCATTCAGTCTCTGCTGAAGCTTCTGGGCCTTCATTTCTAGTGTTTATAAACTGAGCCAACTAAGCATTCCTGGTTACTTCCACTTCCAGTAACCAGATATCTGAGTCCCACTGAATACAGTAAAAAGAGTTTTATTCTTCTTATTGTTAGGAAAAGGGGAGCTCCACAAAAGGTGGGTATATATATTTTGAGATGGAGTCTTGCTCTGTCAGCCAGGCTGGAGTGCAGTGGCGTGATATTGGCTCACCAAAACCTCCGTCTCCAGGGTTCAAGCAATTCTCCTGCCTCAGCCTCCGGAGTAGCTGGGACTGCAGGCATGCACCACCAGGCCTGGCTTTTATTTACTTATTTATTTTTAGACAGAGCCTAGCTCTGTTGCCCAGGCTGGGGTGCGGTGGCGTGATCTCAACTCATTGCATGCAACCTCTGCCTCCTGAGTTCAAGCCATTCTCCTACCTCAGCCTCCTGAGTAGCTGGGATTACAGGCACGCGCCACCACGCCCAGCTAATTTTTGTATTTTTAGTACAGATGGGGCTTCACAATGTTGTTCAGGCTGGTCTTGAACTCCTGACCTCAGGTGATCCACCTTCCTCGGCCTCCCAAAGTGCTGGGACTACAGGTGTGAGTCACTGTACCCGGCTGTGGGTAGAGATTTGTGTCTGTTTCGTTTACTGATGTATCGGAGGCACCTAGAACCATGCCTGACACATATAAGGCACTCAGTAAATATTTGTCGAATAAATGAAACTGCATTCTCTCTTATGAACGAGGCTTGTTCTTTTTTTTTTTTTTTCTTTCAGACAGTCTTGCTCTGTCACCCAGGCTGGAGTGTAATGACATGATCTAGGCTCACTGCAACCTCTGCCTCCTAGATTCAAGCAATTCTCATGCCTCAGCCTCCCGAGTAGCTGGGACTACACGTGCACGCCAACACGCCCAGCTAATTTTTTGTATTTTAGCAGAGATGGGGTTTCACCATGTTGCCCAGGCTGGTGTAAAACTCCTGGGCTCAGGCAATTTGCTCACCTTGGCCTTCCAAAGTGCTAGGATTACAGGTGTCAGTCATTGTGCCTGGCCTGAGGCTTGTCCCATTTTAACGCCAAAGATGCCACCAACCCCACTGGTGAAGCAGCCCAGAAGGGTTCAGCAAGGAGCTTGTAAAATAAAAATAAAATTCTGGGCCGGTGGCTCATGCCTGTAATCCCAGCAATTTGGGAGGCCGAGGCGGACGGATCACCTGAGGCCAGGAGTTCAAGACCAGCCTGACCAACATGGAGAAACCCTGTCTCTACTAAAAATACAAAATTAGCTGGGCGTGGTGGTGTGCACCTGTAATCTCAGCTACTTGGGAGGCTGAGGCAGGAGAATTGCTTGAACCTGGGAGGTGGAGATTGCGGTGAGCTGAGATTGTGCCACTGCACTCCAGCCTGGGCAATGAGAGTGAAACTCTGTCTCAAAAATAATAATAATAAATAAAATAAAATTCTACATTCCCCTCTCCACCCCTCCCGCCACCACCACCCTGCACTGACTGAATGGTCAATACCCTTCTTGGCCAAGGGGAGCCTAGATGAACACTAAAAACTGAACTCCCTCAAGACCAGCCTGACTAACATGGAGAAACCCCATCTGTACAAAAAATACAAAATTAGCTGGGCGTGGTAGCGGGTGTCTGTAATCCCAGCTACTCGGGAGGCTGAGGCAGGAGAATCGCTTGAACTTGGGAGGCAGAGGTTGTGGTGAGCCGAGATCGCGCCATTGCACTCCAGCCTGGGCAACAAGAGTGAAACTCCGTCTCAAAGAAAAAACAAACAAACAAATAAACAAAAAACTGAACTCCCTGGCCAGCACTTTGGGAGGCCGAGGTGGGTGGATCACCCGAAGTTAGGAGTTTGAGACCAGCCTGGCCAATATGGTGAAACCTTGTCTCTACTAAAAACACAAAAATTAGCTCGGCATGGTAGCGGGCGCCTGTAATCCCAGCTACTTGGGAGGCTGAGGCACGAGAATCACTTGAACCTGGGAGGCAGAGGTTGCAGTCAGCCAAGATCGTGCCACTGCACTCCAGCCTGGGCGACAGAGCAAGACTCCATCTCAAAATAATAATAATAATAATAATAATAATAATAATAAAAAGAAAAGAAAACTGAACCCCCAGCCACAACAGGAAGAGAGGTCGAACATACCTTGTTACGCCCCTTCCCTTTTGGAGTTTAGGCACAACTGACCGGCATGTTAAATAGAGATCATAAGACGGACAAACATTCCCTAGCAAGCCTACTGAAAAATAGATTCTTTGTTGCAATCAGATACCAAATTATAAACAAGATCCAGGGCCATCCCAGACAGGGTTAAAGTCTAGCCTACAGTAGGCCAGCAATCTTGCTACATAGCATCCTTATCTTAAACATTCCTTTCTGCTGATTCCAAGTTTTCGACAGAGCCTTACTCCTTTAACCAGCTGCAAATTCAAGAATCACTGAATCTACTTATACCTATAAGGCCCCACTTCAAGACATCCTGCCTTTTAGGGCTGAACCAATGTGTACCTTTCATGCATTGATAGATGTCTTTGCCTATAACTCCTGCCTCCCTACAATGTATGAAACCAAAGGCTCATCAAGGCTCCTTCAGTCTGTGTTTTCTCCAGGGCTGTGGTCACTCTTATTGGCTCAGAATCAGCCTCTTTAAAATATTTTACGGCCAGGCTCCGTGGCTCACACTTGCAATGCTAGCACTTTGGGAGGCGAGGCAGGTGCATCGCCTGAGGTCAGGTGTTCCAGACTAGCCTGGCCAACATAGTGAAACCCTGTCTCTATTAAAAATATAAAATTTAGCTGGGCGTGGTGGCAGGCGCCTGTAATCCCAGTTATTCGAGAGGCTGAGGCAAGAGAATAATTTGAACTTGGGAGACGGAGGTTGCAGTGAGCCGAGATCGCACCACTGCACTCCAGCCTAGGTGACAGAGCGAGACTCCATTAAAAAAAATATATATATATAAAATATATTTTATATATGTGTGTATATATACACACACATATATAATATATACACATATATAATATATATGTGTGTGTATATATGTATATATAATATACATTATATAATATGTATTATATAATATATATATGTATATATTTTTACAGAGTTTGGTTTT